CCCCCCATAGGAATGAGGAAATCCCTTGTGGCATCTACTAAGCACCAAGCCCTTTGTCTTGAGAACTTGGGTTAGTTTAACAGTCCTGCACAGTATATGTCATTCCATTTTACAGATGCAAAAACAAAAATTTACCCAAAGCTCCACAGGCATTAAGGGAACTTGCTGGGCCCCAGTGCAACAGGCCTCAGTTCCACTCCTCACCCTCTCCCCCACTTTCCCCGGGCTGACTTGGTATCCGAACCAGCTCATCCTGGCTTATTACCGTGTTGGAGCTGGTTCAGCAAATAGCTGGCAGCAGAGAGGCTCCCCAAACCCCACAGCCTCCTTCTCCTCCTCCTCCTCTTCCTTCAGAGTCTGGCTCGCCCTTCACTGTTGGGTGCCCATGCAGCAGGGCTAGGGTCCTGGGTGTGGAGAGCACACACAGGGCTCTCCTTACATTTCTGGGTGACTCCATAGGAGAGGTTTTGGGTTTCCAGGGCTCAGACTGGGACAGAACAGCGACTTCCCCACAGAGAGCAGACAGTTCCCAGTACTGCGGGGAGGCCTTGGTTTCCGCTAAGACAGAGTGGGAGGGTGATTCCAGCTGCCCCAGGCCTTTCCCCCAACATGCAAGGAAGGTGTGTAGTTCCAGGCTATGCCAGGCTGGCTCCAGAAGCCAGGGCTGCCAGGCAGAGCCGGTCCTCTCCTGGCACAGAGCTCCAGACCTGAATAGAAGAGCTTCCATGCACTGAGCTGATTCTTTCCTCTCTCTCCCTGTCTCTCCTCACTCTCCCGCTCTCCCGCTTGACCCGTTTGTTTCCTGGCCCAGCCTCTCCTGAGTCTTCTGCAGTGAAGTCCAAGCCCTGGTGAACTGTGACCGCACCCCCCCCCCCAAATGCGTGCATACACACACACACACACACACACACACACACACACACACACACACACCCCAGGCGGCTCCTGAGCCCTCCTCACCAGCTACAGAAGAGCTGGGCAAGGGCCCCAAAGGGCACCTGGACTCCGGTGGGAGGTTCTGGGCTTCAGGTGCATCCAAACCTGGATGCCAGACAGTGAACTCTTGACTTCCAGGAGAGGGAAATGGGCCAGCACACTCCAGGAATTAAGGGGGTCACCTAGGGAACACTGTCCGCCCTAGACCCCCATTGCATGGTGTGGCGGTGTTGGCACTACACAGGCAGGATATTTCCTGGGTCCCCCTGAGAACACAGCATCTTCCCCCATCCCCTCCCTCCAAGCCAAGCCCTCTGGCTGGGCAATTAGGGGACAAGAGACACTAAGAGTACGCTGTCAGTGTGGGGAGGGGGCTTCTCTTGTCTGCTGCGGAGAGGATGTTTACACACACACACTACACACACACACACACACACACACACACACACAGAGATCACAACACGCTCATTCAGGACCACGGGAAGCGACGCCTTCTCCCAGACAGCAGAACTTGGCAGGGCGTCCAGAGCAAACTCTGTTTAGGTTGTATTTACACTACCCTCGGCAAACATATATACACCCACCCACAGGGCCCTGTCGTCTAGCCAGACTGTATATGCCAAGGCTTAATTGTGCACTTGAGGAACGTTCTGGAAATGCTTTTTGCCTTCACCAAGCAAATTCCTTCATTCATCTTCTCTAACAGAACTTCAAAGTGCAAAGAAGGTGAGGACAGAGAGGAAACAAGAGGCCGGGGAGTCGGCAAGGGGTGGGGGTGAGAATGACCCGCTGAAGAGTTTTGGAGAAGCCCCCTAGGGTCGGACTCTGGGAGTGGGACTTCCTCGGGCATCCACAAGCCACAGGTCGGACTCAGTGCTTGTCTCTCACCTCCTCTGGTGCAGGTAGAAACCGGGAATCTCTTCACTCATCTGCATCACTAGGGGAGGCTGTGCCCACCCCAAAGATTTTTCAGCTTTGTTCTTCACTCCCCAGGCTCTATCCTACTGCGACACCACCCTGGACACTTCCCTCCTCTGCTTTCCGTATGGGATTTGCAGCTGGAGCCGAGAGGATCTTCCAGCATGCACGGAGGTTCTGTGTGTGTGTGGTTTCATCGCCCAAGGCTGCTGCGGGGCAGAATGGGCAACAGCACACATGACAGTGGCATCTCCACCCAGTAAGCTCTCCCCAAGGACAGTCCATAAGGCTACAGTACAAGACTACAGTTCTCCAACATCCACCTCCCACGAGGTCTGCCCCGGGACACAGCTTATGCTGCATGCAGACGACCCATGTGCCCAGGGGAGAGATGACAGACGGACCAGCCCACCAGCCCACAGGAACACAATTCTCTTCTGCAACACTCCTTAGCCAGAGCACTGGCAGGCCTCACAGGATCTGGGACCTCCGGTTGACACCCCCCCCCCTTCTAAGCAAGTTCTTTTGTGCTCCCGCATTCTGGCAGCCTCCAGCCTGGTCTCAGGTCCCCCAGAGCCCCTTGCTTCCTCCTCCACTTTCTAACTTCTGGTGGGGGGAAGGGGAGCAGGGAGTGCCCTGAGCTGAGCCAATGCCCATGGGCCCCCACGGCACACAACAGGGACCCCGGCATTCCCAACACATGACCCCAGAGTTAAAGTGAGAGGATGGGGGTCCCTTTCTGGTTGTAGGAAACTGTTCCTCAACCACTGGGGGCCTGGACCGGCAGTCAGTGCTGTCCAGATCCGGAGCAGGGGACAGGCAGGGGCTCTGGGCTGTGCTCTGGAGGCCAGCGCTAGCCCAGTGCACAGGCAGCCAGAGCCAGCAGAAACCCATTGCTTCATGGGAAGGTAGAATAAACGCAACCGCACCCCATATCTGCTTGAGAGCCCCTACTTCATCACCACCTCGAATGTACCTTTGTGGAAGCACTGTTACATTTTTTGGGGGTGGGGAGTACACCCAAGAAGTACTCAGGATTTACTCCTGGCTCTGGGCTGTAGGGTCCCTCCAGATCTCAGGGGACCAAGCAGTGCAGGAGGGGGGGGGGGCTGGAATTGAACTTCAGTCTCCTGCATGCAAAGCATGTGCCCCCCTCAGCCCATTCAGATAGCTCAGAAGCGCTGTTCTTAATTCTTTACTTGAAGGGTCCCAGTATGGGAGGAGGAGGAGGAGGAAGAGAAGGAGGAGAAGGAGGAGGAGGAGGAGGAGGAGAAGAAGAAGAAGAAGAAGAAGAAGAAGAAGAAGAAGAAGAAGAAGAAGAAGAAGAAGAAGAAGAAGAAGAGAAGAAGAAGAAGGAGGAGGAGGAGGAGGAGGGGAAGGAGGGGAAGGAGGAGAAAGAGAAGGAGATGGAGGAGAAGGAGGAGAAGGAGAAGGAGAGGGAGAGGGAGAAGGAGGAGAAAGAGAAGGAGAAGAAAGAAAAGGAGGAGAAGAAGAAAAAAAGGAGGAGAAGGAGAAGGAGAAGAAATTAGATTTCTGAGCCACGCAGCCTGACCACCCCTCTCTGATACTCCCACATCTTACACATCTCGCCAGATAAATGATGCTGCTGATTAAAAATAACAAAGGCCTCAGTCACTCGTTTACAGAGCTTGCCCACAAACAGGACATGTTTATCTATTTGGAATAAACTGGCAGCTGGAACAATGTAAATGCAAAAGAACTCAGCTCATGCACTTAATGTGACAAGCTTGCGTGAACAAACGCAGAACAAATCCTACCTGCAATGGTGCCTCAGGAAGGAACCCCGCAGATAAAGTCTCTCTGATGACACGAAGAACCACAACAGCGATGACCCAGAAAACAAACAATCGGAGGGACACAAAGTGGCAGCAACAACGGCCCCACTGGGGCTACTCTCAGCCCTAGTTATCTGAAAAAGGAGACGATTGCTCTGAAAATCTCCCTGTAGGCGCTGGGTAACTCAAGGCACGGAAATAACAGAAGTCCCGTTTAAAAGAAAGAACAAAAAAAATTTATTCAAGAATTGACAAGACAAAAGAAAAAAGCAACAAACAAAACAACAAAAGTGCTCTAGTTTTCGCTAGAAAATAAGTTGGTCCCCCCAACTCGTGTCACAGAATTCCAGATAAAGCTGGTGGGTTTTTCGCTCACCCGCCTGGAGCTCAAGCTCCGCGGCTCCGATCAATTCGAGGCCTCCGGGATCTCTTGCCCAAGGCGGGGTGAAACTAACTTTTGATGAAAAAAAAATCAGGGGGAGAGAGAGCGGTCCCAGCAGCGACGTTGGCTGGACAGACAGTCATCTCCCGACCGAAGGAAGATCCCGGGAAACTTGGTTTTGATTTTAGTTTGTACTTAGGGCAGGGAACGGAAAACCTTCCAATTCTTAAGAGGAAACTGTCTTTTACCGAACAGCCTCCAACCTCTGCAGCCAGCTTTTGGGAAAACCAGAAAGCAATTCTACTGGAAAAGAACATTTTCGTCTTTGGCTTTAGCAAACTCCAAGGCCACAATACGTCGCCGTGTTCCCGGTGAGTATTTTTTTCCTTATATAAAAAAAACCCATTTTTTTTTTTAATATCATCTAACATGGCCCCACCGATTCTTTTAGCAGAGCATCAGCCAGCAGCCTGGGCCCGGAGGTGCGGGCAGAGTCGGGCTGGAGAGCGGAAGGTGCGGGGCCTCGCTCCTCCGATGCGCGCCGCCAAGTCCACCCGGGCACGGGCCGTGGAGCCGGGCTGCGGGGGTTCCGGGCTCGGGCGGCTGCAGAACCGCGGCCGCGCGGGGCACACGCAGGTCCGTCCGTCGCGCGGCGGCGCGGGTGTCGTGGCCGGCGGAGCCGCGCGCTCGCAGCCCGGATCGCGCAGACGAGCGGGGCGCGAACGCACCGGCCGGGCGAGACGAGGAGGCCGGCCGCTCCTCGGCCCGGGGCGCTTCCTCTCCGTCGGGAATTCGGGCCAGGGGTGAGCGCGGGCGCGGGGGCGGCCTGCAGGCCCGAGGCCGGAGAGGGCAGCGCGGGGGGAGGCCGCGGAGACAAAGAGCAGCGCGCGGCGCGCGGTCCGGCCGCCCGGCGAGGGCTGCGGCCCCGGCGCGGCGCGGCGCGGCGTCGCGCGGCCCCGCGGCCCCGCTCAGAGGTCGAGGCGCGAGTGCAGCGCGCCCGTCTTGCTGTCGTGGTCCCAGTAGGAGCAATGCATCATGGCGAGCTCGGGCTGCCGGGCGCAGGCGAACTGCAGGCCGGCGGCGTTGGTGGGCGCGGGCGGCGCCGGGGGCGCGGCGGTGGCCGGGCTGGCCGGGCTGAGCTGGCCGGGCGGCGGCGCGGCGGCCCCGTGGTGCGGCGGCGGGGCCGGCGGGGGCGCGGCGGCCGCGTGCAGATGGTGGGCGTGCGGGTGCGGGTGCGGGTGCGGGTGCGGGTGCGAGTGCGGCGGCGGCGGCGGCGGGGGCGCGGCCGGGGCCGCCCCCAGGCCGTTGTAGGAGTTCACCACGCCGGGCGGCAGCGCCATGCCCTGCACGCGCGAGTAGGGCCCGTAGGAGGCGGCGGAGCTCGCCAAGCCCTTGACCACCGCGGCGGCGCTGGAGCCGCCCGGACCCGCGGCCGCCGCCGCCGCCGCCGCCGCCGCCGCCGCCGCGGCCGCGGCCATCTGGCAGGAGGCGTAGGGCATGGGCGACGGCGGCTGCGGCAGCGGCCACGAGTTGTTGAGGAAGCCCGACTGCAGATACTTGGGCGGCGCCAGGTAGCCGTAGCCGTCGGCGCCCGCGCCCGCCACGCCGCAGCCGCCCGGAGCGCCGCCCGCCGCGAAGAGGCCCTTGGCCGGCGGGAAGTGTGCGGGCGGCGGGCGGAAGGGCCGCTTCATGCGGCGGCGGCGGCGGTAGTTGCCCTTCTCGAACATGTCCTCGCAGGCCGGGTCCAGCGTCCAGTAGTTGCCCTTGCGCTCGCCGCCGCCCTCGCGCGGCACCTTGATGAAGCACTCGTTGAGGCTGAGGTTGTGGCGGATGCTGTTCTGCCAGCCCTTCTTGTTCTTCTCGTAGAACGGGAACTTGGCGATGATGTACTGGTAGATGCCCGACAGCGTGAGCCGCTTCTCGGCGCTCTCGCGGATGGCCATGGCGATGAGCGCCACGTACGAGTACGGGGGCTTCTGCGCCGGGTCGGGCTTCTCGGGGGCCGGGGCCGCGCCGCCGCCGCCGCCCGGCCCGGGGCTCGGCGGGGCCGCCTCGGGCTCCTTGGCGGCGCGGCCGGGCTCCGGGGCCAGCAGGGCGCCCGCGGCGCCCTCGGGCTCGGGGTAGCTGGCCATCGCGGCGCGCCGGGGCCGGCCCCGGGGCTCGCTCGTCCGGGCGCGGCGCGGGCGCGCGGGGGCCGAGGCTCGGGCGGCTGCGGCTGGCGGCGCTCGGCGCGGCTTGCCCTTCCCCCGGGGGGCGGCCGGCGGCGGGGCGGCTCAGCCTCTGGCCATGGGGAGTCCGCCCAACCGAGAGGGGCTCGGGCCCCGCCGCCCCTCCCCGCGCAGGCCAGTCTCCGCCTCGGTGGGCTCTGCGCGCCGCGCGCCCCCCGCCCCCGTCTCCCGAGGCGCGCCCCGCGTGTCTGGCCGCGCCGCGTCCTGCCGGCCCGGGCCGCCGCGCCTCGCTCTGTTCTGATTCGTATGGGCTCCACCGAGTTCCGCTTGCGTCAGGCGCGCTCGCCCCCAGCGCCCGGCGGCCAGTGGCGCACGGGCCGGTTCATCTCCAAGTCACTTTTGGTCAACGCCCGCCCCGCGGGGCCCGCGCGGCCGCCCCCTCCCCGGCAGCCTTCGAGGGAGGGGGAGACCCCCCTCCGTCCCTGCCGCTCCCGCGCTCTCCAGCCCCCCGGAGATCTGCGGGCGGTCGGGGGCCCGAGAGCCCCGGCGCCGAGAGGCGCGTCCAGCCTCCGCGCGGCGTCCAGGTGAAAGGAAACGGCCGCGCGGGGCCGGGGCCCGCGGTGCCCGCGCTGGACCGCGGCTCGGTGGGGGCGGGGCGGCCGGCGCCGAGGCCGGCCCGGGTGGGAGGAGAGCGGCGCGGTGGCTTTGGAAGAATCAGCCCAGAATCCGTGTCCCTCGCGCGGCCGGGCCTGCGCTCGCCCGCTCGCTCGCTCGCTCGCCCGCTCGGAGAGGGTCGCGCGGAAGAGGGGCCCGGGGACGTCGGCCCCCAGGGGGCTCCCGGTCCGTCCCGGCGCCCTCCCCGGCCCTGGGGATTAGCCCCCTCCTTGGACTGCGCGTCGGGAGCCCGCGGCTTGGCTGCGGGTTCCAAGGACTCCAAAGAGCCCGCTCTGCCCTGGCGCTGTTGCGGGCGTCGGCGCGGCCGTGGGCGCGGGATGGGGGTGGAGGGGCGCGCGCTCGTCCACAGGTGTCACATGTAGAAATCGTGGGGAGGGGCCGTGCGAAGGGTTGTAAGGCTGCAGCTGCCGCCAGCTGCCTGCGGGCGTGTGCACTAAGACACAGGTATACGCAGGCGGGAGCGCGGGAAGCCGGGTTGCGCTGGCCACACAGCCCCGCACATACAGGCCAGTGATCTGTGGGTACCACCTGTCAGAGTGAAGGTGGCTGACGGCTACTGTGTCTTCCTCCCTCCCTCCCTCCCTCCCTCCCTCCCTCCCTTCCTTGCTTCCTTCCTTCCTTCCTTCCTTCCTTCCTCCTTTCTTCCCTCCTTCCCTCCCTCCCTCTCTGCCTCTCTTCCTCCCTCACCCCCTCCAGGGCTGAGTGACTGTTCTCATCTCTCAGCAGGCCTGATGGGGGAGAGCCTGCAGGTGTGTTGAGGGGAACAGGTCAGCACTGTGGGAAGTCAGGCGTGGCCTTAGCAGTCAGCAGCATCCAGTCTGCCATGGAGGGAGGAAGATGGGGGGGGGTGAGACCTCAGGTCCCCTTGGCACTGAGGGGCTGGGATGCATCGTGGAGAAGGCTGCACATAGTTGGGCGTGTGCAGCTATGGGGTAGTGAGAGGATGTCTGGAGTGGTGCAGTACTGTCACGGCTTCTTTGCCAGCGTCTGAAGCATCTGAAGAGTTCTCCGGGGCCAGCGGCCCCAGCACCCCCAGACCACCTGCTAGCTCGCTCTGCACTGGAGGAGGGGTGGAGGGTGGGATCTGGAAGATGGCTGCCAGGTGGTCAGCAGAGCATCACCTTGAGAGGGGGGCACAGTGCACCCCTAAACTCATCCCCCCTCCACCCATCCTGACAAATGGCTCTAGGACTTGGAGTCCAGGTGTCCCCAGCCCCTTCCCTCCCCCAAACAGCCCGGCAGGCCCCACAGGTGTGTTTCTTCTGGGAGCCCCATCTATAGGGCTGTGTGGGGGTGGACATTGGGTTTGGGGCTGCTGCAGACTGACCCCCAAGCCTGTCCTCCCCCCAGGCCGGGGCCATACGACAGCTGTGTCTCTGCCTCTCTGGCCACCCAGGCTGGCTGCGACTCTGTCCCTGGCGGCTGCAGCCAGGTGTGACAGCATTGTCCTATGTGTCATCACTCCCCACTTGCATTCCACACTTGGCTCCTGTTACGGCCTCAGAGTGAGCAAGGGATCAAGCATCTGTGAGTGTGTGCGAGTGTGAGTGCGGGAGGGGCAGCTTTGTGTGAGCATGTGTGAGTGTGTGTGAGAGTGCGTGTGTATATGTGGGTATGTGTGAGCATATGTGTGAGTATGTATGAGTGTATGTATGTGTGAGAATGAGTGTGTTTATGTGGTTATATTTGAGCGTGTGTGTATGAGTACATGTGTGCGAGAGTGAGTGTATATATGTGTGTGTGAGTGTATGAGTGTACAAGTGTATATGTGGGTGTGTGTGAGCATGTGTGTGAGTGCGTGAGTGTACATGTATATATATGTGTGTGTGTGAGCATGTGTGTGTGTGAGTGTATGTGTGTGTGACAGTGTGTAGGTGTGAGTATGTGTGAGCGAGTGTATGTGAGTTTGTGTGCGTAGGGAAAGAGTACCTCTAAGGATTTCTGAATGGGAAGAGCAGGCGTGTGGCTGTCTTTGAAGAGGGAACCCTGGCCAGGAGGAGCCTGTGGGGTCAGGCCTGGGTGCCCACTGGGGGGAGTGGACTCAGGCCCTTCTGCCCTCCCACAGAGGTGCCCTGACAGGGCTTCCTGCAGCCAGGGTTGGAAGGCTGCAACCCAGCCGGCTGGATGAGTCTTCCTCCCTCCCCCACCCCCACCCCGCAGGTGGCCAGGTGGCCCTGAGAGGCGTCCAGGAAGCCTCGGTGTCCCTTGACTGACATCTCAACCTTCTCAGTCCCTGCTGCGGAGGGCCTTGCTTGGCGAGGCTGAGCTGCGCCTGGCCACCAAAAGGCTCTGATGGAAAGGGGGTCCCCATCCCACTGGGTGTTGGGGAGATCCCCCGGCCAGGGAAGCTGTGGCCCTGCCCCTTGCTCCTGCGGAGCTCAACAACTGCTGCCTTGGGGATTTGCAGCCCAGCCCCCTCTCCAGGCCAGGGCCTCTGAACCTGCCCCAAGGGTCCTGTCCTGCCACCCCGGCCCCAACCCCCAACTCGGACCAGCTTCGCCTCCTCCAAAAGCAAAGGACCAGCTGGTGCCGGTCCTGGTGGCTACTGCCTGTGCACAACCGGGGCCCCAAGTCCTGGTTAGGCAACCCCCTTTCCACGTTCAGCTTTGGCCTTCGACTCCAGGTCCCTGTCCTGCACGCTTGGGTGGGGAACAGGAAACAGGCCCATCTGATGCCCAATCTCCAGTTACTCCCGCTCGCTCTTGCTCAGGACCTTCTGGATGACACGAAGGTGACTGACCAACAGCCTGTTATTCTCTCTCTCTCTCTCTCTCTCTGGTGGGGAGGGTGACAGGGCTGCCACCAGGTGTCCCCTATCCAGGTAACTTCTCAGAAGCCCAGGAGGAATATTCTTCGCCTCAGGCTGGCCACACTGGGCACTCACTTTCTGTGGCCTTGCCTGTGGCGGTGGCCCAGAGGTGGAGGTTTCTCCCCAGACACTACCTGGTACAGGGGTGGGAGATAAGGAGGGAGGAGAGATGGGTGGGGGCGGGGAGATGGAGGAAGCCCTGGGGAAGAGAGAGAAGGAAAGAGAGAGGGAGGGGAAGAGAGTGAGAGGGAGAAAGAGGGAGACAGGAAGAGAGGGGAGGAGGGAGAGAGGGTGGGGGACAGAAGAGGAACTTGATCCCCCTCCATCACAGAAGCCCTTACAGACTCAACTGTCTGGGGCTGGAGAGTATTGTGGTCAGTGTTCTCCCAGCCCCCAGCAGGCCTGAATTTTGGCTTTCTCACCGCACTGCCGCCGGACCTCTTTGCCCAAGGAGGGGGTCCCCACTGGCTATCAGGCCCACAGTGGGCATAGGAGGCCTTTTTCCTGGCTGAGGTGAAGGCAGAGGAAGGGTAGAGGGGCTGGTTCCTGGTCCAGGAAGTCTCCCCGCTGCCAAGATCTCTGGGATACCCAGAGGCAGGACTCTGCTGGCCGCTTCCTCGACTTCCAAGGCTGAGATCCTTGCCGGGGACCCTCACCCAAGAGTTCGGGCCTGGCACACACTGGCGGCGGGAGAGTGTAGAGTCCTTGGCTCCTGCCTCAGGGCGCTTCCCGCGGGGGTTGGGAAGATGGCCACAGGGTTTTCCAAGAGAGGGGCGGTGAGTTGGGCGGGCAGGGAGGCCACTCAGGGTCTGAGAGCCGCAGGCCCATAGCAGCTGCACCTCCACACCACCCGCCTTGGCAAAGACAGGGGGGCATCTTGCTTGTCCCCCAAACTGGCCCCAAGGCATGGCCCACCCTCCCTACCATGAGCCTTTCCCCATGGTTGGCCCCATCTCTCTCCACAAGTCACCACTTTCTAAAGAATCTCATGAAGAAGGGCCATTTTTGTTTCTCTTTTAACCACACTCAGTGTTGCTGGGGGCTACTCCCAGTTCAGTGCTCAGGGATCACTCTGGAGGAGGCCCATGTGCTTTTTCTTTTTTTTTTTTTTTCTTTTTTTGCTTTTTGGATCATACCTGGTGATGCATAGGGGTTATTCCTGGCTCTGCACTCAGGAATTACTCCTGGCGTTGCTCAGGGGACCATATGAGATGCAAGTCAAATGCCCTACCCCTACCGGCTGTGCTATTACTCTAGCCCAGCCCATGTGGATTGAGTCCGGAGCTCCTGCAAGTGCGCGACCCACCGAGTTACTTCTCCTGCTCTGGAAGTCCGCTTTGTTTCATCTTGTGGGTTTTGCTCATGCTTAGTGGTGCTCAGAGGCTGCTCTCAGCCCTCCTGGGAGTGCAGGGGGGCATTGGTCCAGGGGTTCAACCAGGGTCTGCCGTATGCACGGCTAGTGTCTGGCCTGCTGGACACT